GCTAAACTGGCATAAAGCATTGAACTCGAGAGAAGTGGCTGGAAATTCAATTCGGCAGCAATTCAGTATATCACTCAAGTTGTTCTTTACAAAGGATTGAAGCTCTCTTTTATAGATGAAGAGAAGCTCTAAAACGTGCAAGTAAAGCTACATATTTACAACGTGCATGAAGCTAAGAGAGGCGTGCAGGAGAAGCTTTATAGATGGCTACATGTTTCACGTGGGAAGCATTTAAAACGTGCTTCAAAGAGGAGAAGCTACACGGCTGACTGCAAAATGCACTCTTCTTTGCCTCCTTTGTGCTCCCTTGCTTGGCAAGCTTCCTAGGATGTGTAGGCATACTTCCCAGCCTTTATTAGTGTCCTACAAAAATAATGTAAATGAATTTAGTTAAAGAGAATCCATCTAAGACTTAGATAAGGAAAGAACTTTAGAAGTCTTTATTCTACTTCCCTTTCTTTAGTCTTAGTTTAAGTTGATACTTCTTTGGATGTGAAGTCCCTAAAGGGGTTTCCATCATTCCCTCCCTCTTTAAAAACGATTTGTCCTCAAATCGGGAAGAAAGAAAGAAGCACAACTTTGGTTTTTGTTTTCCTCCTGCATAAAAAATATATCTACAAAAGATAGAAAAAATGAGTATGATGAAGAAGATGTAAGCAAAGATAAGAAGACAAAAGAAAAGTCTTGTATTTTTGAAAAATATTTTCTGAAAATTAGTCTTCGAAAAATGGAGAATTCCATATTCCCAAGTTATTTGATTTTTATGTTGAGTTAGTTGTTTAAAAGGATTGCACAGAATATGGGATGACAATTGATTTAAAAGAAAAATTAATAATTGAAGAGTGCACAATAATTGAAAAAGAAGTAAAGAATTGGAAACCTTCCCTTTTAGGTTCCATGAGTTTTGGTAGAGTTGAATTTGCCATCAGTAGCAATTTCCCTTTTTCTCTATTTTCCTCTTCTTTCTTCTTTTCTACTTCTCTTCTTTCTCTTTCTTGTCTCTCTTCTTCCTTTCTCTCTTTTCTCTTCTTTTTCTCTTCTCTCTTCTTCTCTTCTCTCTCTTTCTTCTTTCTCTCTTTTCTCTTCTTCTTCTCTTCTCTCTTCTTCTCTTGTCTCTCTTTCTTCTCGCTCTCTCTTCTCTTCTTCTTGTCTTATTTCCTCTTGTTGTCTCTCAACATCTCTTTGTAGTCTCTTAACCTTCAACTCTAGTTTCTTAGCCTTTAACTCCTTAAGTCTAATTTCAAAATCTAGTTCTCTAAGAAGGAAACCATTGTCGTTTAAGCTTTCAAGAAATGTTTCACCATTTTCAATGTAATCTCTCAGTAATTGTAGGTTTCTCCGAATAGTTGAAGGCACAAACTCTTTTCTCATGCAAGATTTTAATTCATACCAATCATGAATGGGAGACTTTCTACCTATCCTAACATGATATTGTCTTTCATCCCACCACTCTCTTGCATGCACTTCAAATCTAGATGTGTAGAGACTAAGGACATAAGATGCACTATTGCTAGAATGGAAATAGGATTCAGGTTTACTTTTTCTAGCAATGAATGGATGCATGTCATCAATTTCTCTTTCCCAACCTAGGTATGTTAATGCACCAATATCCTCACCAAAGATTTACTATCAAAATTGAATCACAGATAACAGTATTTTCAACCGTTATCAGTGGCATCATCACCCGATCTAAAAACAACATTGTCAAACCCCTCAAGAAGCTTAACCTCCATGTCCAACCCTCTTCTCCCAACACCATCACCCAAGCTCTTCGTGACCCTGATTGACGCTCAACTATGCAAGGTGAGTTTGACGCCTTACACCGCAACAACACTTGGGAACTTGTCAGTCGGTCCTCTACTCAAAATTTGGTTGGCTGCAAATGGCTTTTTCGAATCAAAAGACACCCCGATGGCTCGATTGATCGATACAAGGCTCGGCTAGTCGCCAAAGGTTTTCACCAACGCCCTGGTTGGGACTATACAAATACATTCAGTCCGATTGTTAAACCGGTCTCCATTCGCATTGTCCTCACACTTTCAGTTCCTCAAGGATGTTCCATCCGCCAACTTGATGTCAACAATGCGTTCCTTCAAGGGACGCTCAAAGAGGAAGTTTTCATGCTCCAGCCCCCTGGTTTTGTCAACAAAAGTTTCCCTAATCATATGTGCCGCCTCAAAAAGGCACTCTATATGCTAAAGCAAGCACCCCGCGCCTGGTATACAGAGCTTCAAGTGTTTCTACTTTCTCTTGGCTTTGTCAATTAATTGCAGATGCATCTCTCTTCATCTACCGAAAATCAGGTTCCACATCATATTTATTAGTACATATTGATGATATCATTGTCACTGGGAGTTCCTTTATAGAGTTGTCGAACCTTATTTCCACCCTTGTTGCTTGATTTTCGCTGAAAGACATTAGCTGTCTTAACTATTTCTTGGGCGTTGAAGTAATTCCTTCCATTATATGACTATTTCTTTCGCAAAGGAAATACATCATCGATCTACTCCATAAATCAAGCATGGTTAACACAAAATTAGCATCTACTCCCTTGTTCGTCAGTGCTCAATTACTCAAGGATTCCGATGATCTCTTACCTTCCCCAACTGAGTATCGTGCACTTGTGGGAAGTGTTTAATACTTAAGTCTTACTCGCCTGGACATCGCCTTTAGCACCAACAAACTTGCATAATTCATGCAACACCCCAGAACGGCGCATTGATCTGCCCTCAAATGGGTGCTCCGTTATTTGGCAGGCTCTTGCAACAAAGGCATCTTTATATCGGGAACTACTTCACTAACCTTTCATGCTTACTCAGATGCAGAGTGGGCTGGTGATAAGGATGAGTATATCTCCACCACTAATTATTTGTTGTATCTTGGTAGCATTTCTATCTCTTAGAGCTCTCGGAAACAACGCTCTGTTGCTCATTCCTCAACCGAAGCAGAATACAAAGCCATGGCTGACACGATCAGTGAGCTTCTATGGGTCCTATCCTTGTTCACTGAACTTGGTCACATGCCCACAACCAATTTTGTTATCTATTGTGACAATCTTGGTGCCACAACTTCAGCGTTAATCCTGTTTTCCACTCTCGGATGAAACATATAGCCTTAGCCTATCATTTTGTTCGTAAAAATGTTCAAAAAGGCAAGTTTCAGGTGTCCTTTGTGTGTACTGATGATCGGCTTGTTGATATACTCACAAAGCCTCTACTTCACCCTCGGTTTGACTCATTACTGTCCAAGTTGCATGTCTCTTCCAGATCGTCCAACTTGCGGGAGGATATCAATTACAATAATTAGTTTTAAATTATAGTAATTAGTTTTTATTAGCGAGAGCTTTTGTATATCTAATTTCCCTTTATTTAGGTTAAATATTAGTGATAAATTGGGGAGTTTGTTCCATTGACTCTTTCCAGTTTACGTTATCAATTTGTTTATTTATACTACTGTAACCCAATGATAAAATCAATTCATTCAAAACCCTTTTCTATAATTCTAAGACGAATCATCAGTCCTTTAAGCCTTCTATTAGGGATGAACATTAATTTCTCTTAAACCTCAACTAGGGTCTTATGTTCCTATAACGTCTAATAATCTTACATCACTTAAGAGTCAAATTCAAAGACAATTTAAATACTCATTTCTCCTTTCTCTTTCCATCTTTGGACAAAATCGTGACAAAGTACAAATTCAAAAACAAACAATATGTCAAATGAAGAATGACTGACCTTAAATATTCCCGACGTACTTAAAATTGAAATAAATAATTTTGTCTTTTTCATACATTGAAAAAAGATTTGAAAGTCACATAATTAGAAAAAAAAATCAAAATATTAAAATTATTGTATATTTTTAATATTTTTTAACTTTTATCTAAACAACAACCATATCTATTTTTTTTCACTACAATCCTTACTTCTTGAATATATTATGATATTTCTTTGTTTAATATTGGTATTTATTATTTCACATTTTATTTTAATTTAATATTTAAGTTTTTCATATTTTATGTAATATATAAATATATAAATATATAAATATAAATATATAAATATATATATATATATATATTTATATATATATATATATATATATATATATATATATATATTTACATAAATATGTTCTGATATGGGTAAAATACTAGTTATTTAATAAAATGTGAGGTATATTGATTTCTTTTAAGAATAGTCTCATCACCTTCTTTTACTCCTTGACCTATCTATCTTTTTCAATCTTTCTTCCATAATCTCTTTTCACATTTTTTCACCTTTCTATAAAAATTTTTACATATGATTTCTTAAAATTAGATTAACGTAAATTTAATGAAAATACCAAATTAAATTTATTTAATAAATATTAAAAAACAAATAAATAAGAAAAAATCATAAATATTAATATAAAAATGAAATTACTAATTAAGTCTTTAAATTATAAATAAATTTAATAAATTTTATTTTTTTATTTTTTATTGCATAAAATATTTATAATGATAGATAACAATATTTTAATATTTTATGCCACATTATTTATATTATTACTTCACATTATACCACAAGTTTTAGATGTTTTGTAGTATTTTTATATTACGTTTTTCAACATTATTATATACGTCTTTTGAAAAAGAAAGTCAATAATTGATTTTCTTTTCATGATTTATTTCATTTAGTTGGTGTTGTTTGAAAAAAAGAAAAAGAAAAAAAAAGAGATAGAGCATGGAGTTATTTTTAAAAAGTAATATAGTATGATATATCTTTATATTTATTTGATATAAAATATAAAGATAAAATAGTCATAAAAACGTAAATTTTATATTTTAAAAAAAAATGTAAATAAAAACAATGTGAAAGGACTATAAAAAGATGTAAACGTGTCAAAAGAATAATTTTTTATTTTTAAATGTTAAAAAATATGAATAAATTTAATAGAAAAAATGGTGTCCACATTCCACAGTCACGTGGTCATATTCTACACTGAGGGAGAGAATACGGAAAACAACATAACAGGCATTGAAGAGATAGAAAGGGAGAGAGAGCAGAGAGACAAAAATAATGCCGAGCTGAGACGTAACCACGGTGATGATTACGGCAGTGTTTTTATCTGTGGGTTTGAACACTCTGGTGAAAGCAAACCTGTCCAGTGGCATGAGCAATTTCGTTTTCGCTGCTTATTCCAACCTCTTCGGATTCTGTTTCCTGCTAACCGCAACAACCCTTCGTTACAGAAACAGATCTCCCCCACCGCTCAATAACTCCATTGTCTTCAGAGCTTTTCTCCTTGGCTTCTTGGGGTATACTAACACCACAACATTAAATCCTGTTTTCTTCTCCTGTAATTTTCCTCTGTAATGATTTTGTTCTTGTTCTAGTGTTTTCATTCAAACGCTCTTTTATATTGGCCTTGGATATGGCTCCCCCACTCTCAGCTCAGCCACAGAAGATCTCATTCCAGCTTTCACTTTCATAATCGCCGTTGTTTTCAGGTCTGTTTTCGATTCTTTACTGTTATAATGCCTTCTCTAACCGTCTGGATATAGCTCTGGTAAGACACACGTTTATTTGATTGAGTAAATATAAAGTCAATTTTTAATGTAAAAGTACAAATAATTTTCCTTTATCAATCCACTTTTGTAAGAACTAATTAAGTTTAGAATGATTTTATATTATTATATCGACTTTATCCGTGTGATATGTGTTATACATTCACAATTAATGTATCAGAAATAAATCATTTTAGAATAAAAAAAATATTGTAATACATATTTTTTATCATAATACACGTTATTTTTTTTACTAATTTATTATTTATTTATTATTATATTAATATATTTTAAATATTGAAAAATTTTATATCATTTAGAGATAAAATCAATTTATAATATATAAGTGAGATAGATTAGTTACATAAAATTTTTGCGTATTTTTAAAATTTAAAATATAAAATTAAAAGTAAAGTAAGATAGAGAATAAGTTGAAAAACATGACGAGACTGAAACATGAAAGGACTAGTGACAGATATTTAACCAAAAATAGAAACAAAAGAGACTCGAGTCAGACAAATTGGAAAAGAGAAATCAGTTTAATTTTTTCTTGAGTTTATTTACTTATTTTTTATATAGTTTGGAGAAAAATTAATTTTATTTTCCAAAATTTAGATATTTCTATTTTAAAGAAGAAAAATAATTAAAGTCTAATACTCCTTAAATATACACAAATACAAGTTAATACCTAGATTTATAAGGTAGCCAGAAATTTTCTGTCTTTTTATTATGGAAAGTAAAGCACGAGAGAAATATATGGAAAGTAAAATGTAGATACAGAAGTAAAATAAAAAAACACGAAAAATTATACATACCTTAAATTTTCCACGTAAGTTTGAAGAGATTTAGGCGAAAACATTATGTGATAAAAACATTCTATTAATATTTAGACTATGCTTGTAAATATTTTATTAATAGTTATATTTTTTATTATAAGGAATATATAATAATATAACAATTTAATTATAAATAAGTATATTTTATTTTTCTTTTGTCTTTTTTTTCCTTTTCACTCTATCATTTTTCGTCATTCAATTAAAAAGAATGAATTAAATTTTAGGAATTATGTCTAATATTTTGACTTAATTACTATCAAGCCAATCATGATAGATTCTAATTACCAACTTAAAATGATTATTTGGTATGTTCAGGAAAGTTGTTGCATAACAATTTTTAAGAGATAAAGTATAAAAAAATAAATAAATTAGCTTTTGTTATAAGTTAAAATTAATTTATACATGGGTTAAACAAATAATTATTTCAAGAAGCAATGCAAATTTGTTTAATAAATTAAATTATAAATAAACTGATTTTAACTTTTTGAACACTAGTTTTAATATTTTTTTTTTAATTTTTCTCCTAAAGAACATAACAAAAAAAACTCATTTAAACATATTCTATATACGTGTTTATCACTTTATACTTGTTTATATATATTTTCTTTATTTCTTTCCCACTCTTTATTTTTTTAGTATCCAATAAAGTGATTGCATTTTTTTTTTCATTTTGCTTACATTTTGTCGTAAGATTTCTTACTGGTTGGTTGAGTGATCTGTCACGTGTTTAATTTGAATGGAAACCAGCCGATAGGAGGAGAAAATAAACGACAAGGTAGGGACTACTGTTAGATAGTCTTAATATTCTATTTTGTTCTCAGTTTCATTTGATAATGTCAAATTAATCTATTCTTTAAAACGTGCGTCAATTACGTTCTTACTTAATAAAATTTATATCAATGAAATCCCTTACTTTAAATCCATACAAACGGCGTTAATAGAAGAGAGATAAAAATAATTAACGCCGTTTATACGGATTTAACGGAAAGGATTTCATTGATATAAATTTTATTAAGTAATGACGTAATTGACACACGTTTTAAAGGATGGACTAATTTGACATTGTCGAGCGAAACTGAGGACAAAATAGGGTATTAAGCCTATTAGATATTTGTTTTGATATTACAATTAATTCTTTAATTATATGTGTCAATTTCATGCAGCTCATATGGGTTGCCCTGACCTACATCAATCAAGGCTAAAAAAAAATCACAGGCTAAAAAAAAATCCACAGGATAAAAATAATCCACATAAAAATAAATTCATATGGCTATAAAGGTAATAAAAGCACATAAACTAGGGTCAATCGAAAGTAAAAACCTTATTTAAAAATAAAAATTCAAAATCAAATATCTAAAAAATATTTAAAAATTTTTTGAGAGACATAAAAACATTTATTCTTTTAAAGTTTAAATTTCATATAAGTTGGACGAGTTGGTCGTTTTTTTGTCTTTTTTTGTTTAATAGATGTAAAATTTATATTTCATTCTTATCTCAACCACGCCATAATATGTTTTACAAAAATTAATTAATAAAACAAAAATAAAATATTATTAATAATTTAATATAAAAGTAATATATATTTTTCTTTAACATTAAATAATAATAAAGAAATTATATAATTATATAAATTTTAAACTATAATACCAAATTAATAAAGATAAACTGTAACTAATAATTCTTTTACGAAATAATAAAGTGTATATATTTGAGGGACCTTTAAACTTAGAATGAGGCAACCTATGTGATTAATTTATCTTTTTCCACGAAATAGAAAAGGATGAAAAAAATCTGAAGGAAAGTTCGAAACAAGAGGAAAACATTAAAGTTGTTAGAAGAAGAATTTACTTCCTGAAAATGCTAGGTCAATCAGATGTTTGGATATTTATATGAAGTAATTAGAGGTTGAACCTATTGATGGATTTAGGATGGAAAAGCTGGACCTAAAACTAAGAAGCAGTCAAGCAAAAACCATTGGGACTGTGGTCTCAATTGCAGGGGCATTAACGGTGACTTTATACAAAGGTTTGCCTATAACAACTCATGTGATGCGACACAACTTATTTCTCTCATCTCAACAATCACAATGGCTACTAGGAGGATGTATCCTATCAACTGCTACCTTTACTGCTTCAGTCTTAATTGTTATTCAGGTAAATAGCTTTAACTACCCATTCAAACTATAATCTACATTAAGAATTTATTTCTAACTAAACCCTATACATACATACACTAGGCGATAATAAAATGGATATTTATGTTTATAGATGATTAAGAGATTTTCAAAGATATTCACACTATATAAAAATTACATATTAATGATGAGTTTAGTTTGTTGTTAATAATAAAAATTCTGTCACTAATTTGAATTTATTGACATATTACTTACGCTAAAAAATTAATCAAAAAATTGGTTACTGAATTTTTTCAGATTTGTTGTCACTTGTTAAGATGTGTGTAACTTATAGTAAAGCTTCCACCTCATCTTTTTTTTTTTCCTTTCTTTTTTTCTCTCATCTACTTCATAATCATCCACCACTGCAAAAAAGGACTTTAACGTTTGTTATTTTAGACATTCAATGTCCAACCTAGCTCTAACGTCATATTGAAAGACGTTAATTTGACGTTAAATTGACGTTAAATTCCTCATTGAACATGAATTGACGTCGAAATTGACGTCAGAGCCCCCTGTAAACGGACGTTGAGTTGTGCTAAGCGCGCCTCTACCTTACTAAGCAAGAAAAGCCTAGGGTGAGCCACTGGAAGCATTTAGACGTCAGTTTTGACACTAATCGATGTCTCACTTGGTTTTTTTTCTTAAATAAATTTGTTTTTACAATAAAACCACACCTGAAATACAAAAAAAGTTTCCAAAAACATCACAAAATTATATATATTATGCGTTTCA